AGTGGTTCATGAATTGATAATTTTTATACTCTCAATTGTATTGGAAATTTGTATACTCTCAAAGAAAGGGAGATGGTGTTTATAATTGAGAGCTCCTTTCAAGCTAGGCGACATTACGCTCCACTACCACCCAACAGCATTGCTGTTGGTGGAACCCCTGACAGCTTCAAGAATCAATTCAAGATCGTCAATTGAGTATTTTTCGTGAATACCAACAATAAATCTACCTAACCACCTAACCCCACACACTACTTTTATTTCTTTGGCACAAACACTACTTCTATTTTTTTACAAGTCATTCGGAACGGCGTGAACAATTATCCTCGAAGCGTTTTGGCAACCTTGGTGATTTTCTCTGACATAGCGGAAAAAGCGAAGTTTCAATAGCAAAAACACTCAAGGGAAAAGAAAAAAAAACAAATGGCCCGATTACCTGTACTGCGTTTTGATCCTTGAAATAAGTTTTTAGTGTGTTGCTGAATCTTTTAGAGTAATGCACGAATTTCTCGCTTCCGCTTTTCTACAGCTTTATCAATTCAACCACTAAAATATATCTGTCATGAGAGGCTATTTCTAAGGAGGGGGTGTTATTGTGGTCGCAGGTGAGTCAGTTATCGTGAGACGATCACCAAGAACATGCAGTGTCATAGGTTTTGAAGTGATTCATTGAACAAGAATCCGCGTTATCGGAAACCAAATAGAATGCGTCTCCTTGTCACAGTCACTTGGTGGCATGGAGGCCCATTCTTCGGGTGCAGTTCAACGTCAACCGTCCGTTCGCCCCATCTCAGAACTCCTCCAGGTTGTGGGTGTGGTGGTGGTGGTAGAGGTTGTATAGGAGACCTTTTCTAGTAATTGTCTGATTTCAAAATTTGTTTGATTACGAGGGTGGCCCTAGTGAAGTTATACTTATCCATTCCTCCAATATCCAGAACCCGTGTTCTTATGTCACATGTGCGTTCAACCAGCAGTGATTGGTTGGGGTGACAATTGGTTTGCGATTAATGTATAATTTGTACTTTCTTTTTCCTAAATATATTTTTGTTCTAGGTCTCAGTCTCTGCCAATCAGTTAGTGTTCCAAACTTCATTGATCATCAAAACAGTGAATGAGAAGTTGAGAAGATAAGCCGTGCCTATGATTATCTGTTATTCTGATCTTTCGTGATATCATTCTCTTTTTAGCGTTTAGCTTTAAGTATTTATTTATGATTTTACATTTATTTGTATCGTATGTATTACCTTCCTTCACCTGCGGTGTAACCTCACCAGGTTTCTTTGCTCATTGTTTGTATACTCACTTATAAAGTTGTGGTCAATTTTGTATAGATTCAAACATCGATTTTTTTGTTCATATCATTTTTGCATAGTGATATAAAAATCTTAAAGGCAAAAGTGTCGCCATTGTTTAGCATTAAGTTCCTCCTAAGGTTCTTATTGGCGTAAGCGAATGGGAATCTTTCAGGTTAAGCCGCCAGGAAACCTTGGTGCTAGGGAGAGATCCATAGAAATTTGAAGAAAGTGCTCTAGTCATGCCCACCGAGTTGATGGGACACCCAAGTTGCGTGGTGTTTTTTCAGAAACAAAGGTCGGTCTGGACCAGGTATTCGCAAACCATACCCCACAGGCCTGTCAAATGGCAGTGAAAAATACGGGGGGGGGGGGGGGGATGGTGGCTCCATTGACAGGCTAGAAGCTCAAAGCATGAAATACGTAGCATTGAAAAATTCTTAGGACGCATCAATACAGCCATTTTGAGCGATAAGGGGCTTAATCGGAAATTGGAGAGATATGTATTGATTGAGAGATTAGGAGATGAGAAAGCTAGGCTATTAGTGGAACAGGCGCAACACCTGGGAAGACTTGATAGGTAATGATTTCTGGACTGAAGTCGCCTAATCTCCCGTCAGTTATTTATTCTTCTAGTACTACAACCCGTGAAGTATGGATCTCATGGATGCGCGTCAACTTGTAATCAGAGCGGCGGAGCCATACGATATATAATGATAGGGGGAATCGCACAAGATATACT